TTCTTCAGATGATACATATACCGCTAAAGATACATCCATCTATACTGCACATGATCACCAAGTTCCAATTCTCTTGCCAAGTGAATAGCAAGATGCTCCACAACATAAAAAATGATGGAGAAATATCTTCTCTAGGTTACACTGGAGCACAGCTATGTTATTCTTCAAATTTTGGATACCTTCTGGAGTCACTTATCTCGAGCATAAATAGCGGAACAAAGCACTTATTCCTGCAATTGCTTCATGAACCTTTCGTGGAATAGCTCCGAGAAGGCAAACGGAAGGAGGCGCTGCATCATTACATGGAAATCGTGACTTTTAAAGCCGATAAACTTTACGTCGTTTATGTCTACACAGTTACCCAAATTGGATGCGTAACCGTCTAGAAATTTCACATCGTTTGTAATCCAATCAAAGAACGCATCTTTTCCCGCTGCATCCAGTCGGTATATGGGAGCAGGAGCCCTACTATTCTCATCAACATGAAGTTTGGAATGATCACATATATCGACTAAATCGAGTCTTGATTTCAAATTATCTTTTGTTTTACATTGGACGTTAAGGATCGTGTTCATAAGATTGAAGAAAAAGTTCTCCTCAATATGCATGACATCTACATTATGTCGCAGCAGATGATCCTTCCAGTATGGCAGATCCCAGAAAATACTCTTCTTGTGCGAATTATGTAGTTCTCCAACAGTATCTACTGGATAATGAACATGTCCACCAAAGAACGCATCTTTTCCCGCTGCATCCAGTCGGTATATGGGAGCAAAAGCCCTACCATTCTCATCAACATGAAGTTTGGAATGATCACATATATCGACTAAATCTAGTCTTGATTTCAAATTATCTTTCGTTTTACATTGGACGTTAAGGATCGTGTTCATAAGATTGGAGAAAATTTTTTCTCAATATGCATGACATCTACATTATGCCGCAGCAGATGATCCTTCCAGTATGACAGATCCCAGAAAATACTCTTCTTGTGCGAATTATGTAGTTCTCCAACAGTATCTACTGGATAATGAACATGTCCACCAACGTATGGCGTCATTTCTGCACCAAAATCTCTTAGCTGTGTCAACAAATCTACCCCACAAATTTCCGGGGGTGGACTATCAAACACCCTCTTGTTCTTCGTAAACAAAGTTCTACTCCTACGATATGGATGATCAGGTGGTAGGAATCTCCTGTGACAGTCAAACCAACACGTTTTCCTTCCGTGTTTTAGTTGGAAAGCATTTGTGCTATCTTAAAAATGTGGACATGATAACATTCCATGCGTTGTCCATCCAGATAACATACCATATGCTGGAAAATCACTTATTGTCCACATAAGTACTGCCCGCATTTGAAAGTTAACTTTGCACGAAATATCCTATGTATCTGCACCTTGAGACCATAGTTGTTGTAACTCATATATTAGTGGCTGAAGAAACACATCAAGTGATCTCTTAGGATGCTCTGGCACAGGAACAAGAATGGAGAGAAACAAAAACTCTCGACGCAAACACAAGTTTGGCGGTAAGTTGTATGGTGTAAGAATGACTTGCCATAGAGAATACTGTCTTTGATGCTTGCCAAATGGGCTGAAACCATCGGTACATAATCCAAAGTAGATATTTGTTCTCTCAGACGCAAATTCTGGATATGTTGATAGGAAATGCTTCCATGCTTTTGCATCTGAAGGATGTCTAATCTCACTATCTGTCGAATGCTCCACATGCCATCTCATTGGTTAACGGCTGTGCGTTCAGATTGATACAACCTCTTCAACCTTTCCGTCAGAGGAAAATACCACATCCTTTTATATGGCACTAGAACTCTTCCACTCGTATCTTTATAACGAGTCTTCCCACAAAATTTGCATGTAACCCGGTTCTCATCCGCCCTCCAATATATCATGCAGTTATCGATGCATACATCTATTACCTGATACGGTAAACCAAGACCACCTACGAGTTTATGAACCTCGTAGTATGAACCCAGGGGCTAGATTATCCTCTGGTAGAATACCTTTTACAAAATCAGCAATCGCATCCACACATTCTTCAGCCAAATTATAATCAGTTTTAATGCCCATCAGTCTTGTTGCAGATGATAAAGGTGAATGACCATCTCTGCAACCTTGGTACAAAGGTTGTTTTCCTGCATCCAACATATCAAAAAAATCTCCTAGCTTCTGCATTGGGTAATTCTTCCCCTCTAAAATGATCATTTACCATCTGCTCAATACCTACACCAAAATCTACATCTGTTCTAATGGGTTCTTCTAACATATCCGCTGTCTGAGGTTCGCTAGTACAACTATATTCATAATCAATTTCCCCGTGATGATACCAAATTTTGTACCTTCGTGTAAACCCGTTCAAATATAGGTGCGTCCAAACATCCCGCTTTTTTATAACCTTTCTATTTCTACAAGTAGAGCAAGGACATCTTAACATACCCGTTTTTGCTTCCGGTTGTCGTTGAACTACCGCCATGAATTCCTAATACCTTTTAGGTATTCTTCCGTAAGTAATTTCGTGTTAGGATCCAAATGAGATCGATCCATCCACGAACGATAAAAATTTGAAGAATACATGTTTTTTATGAACCAGATTCGTGTAAATAGTAAATGAGAGGATGAGAATATTGAGTGAATGAAAGAGGATGAGTGGTGCTTGTATTTATAGATGAAATGTTGCCGACAGTTCCGAGGAAATTCTGACGGAAATATAATATTCCTCGAAATTTCCTCAGAATATTTTAAATTTGCCAATGGCTATACAACGGTTATAAATATCCATCAGAATTTCGTCGGAATATTTGGACGAAATTTCGACGGAAAATTATATTCGTCGAAATTTTGTCTAAATATTTAAACTTTTCCAACGGCTCGATAACGGCTATAATTAACCATCGGAATATCGTCGGTATATTCCAACAGAATGTTATTTCCTCGAAATAACGTTGGATTATTCCTCGAAATAACGTTGGATTATTCCTCGGAATTTCGTCGGAATTGAATCGTATATTTCGAGGATATTTTTTCCGTCAGAATTTTCCTCGGAATATGTTTTGTTTTCTTGTAGTGTTATTGGTCTTGTCTTCATACATTGAAAAAGGGGAAAATTGTCATTTAAATCACCAACTTTCAAATTTAGTTGAAATAAAGCACCAACTTTCTCGTAAGCCAAAAAACACTCAACTTTTGTTGACAAGCCATTTTAATCACAAACTTTCGTCGACCATACCAATTTAGGCATATCGTCCGTCACCAGTTATAGTTGACTAACGGTAGGACTAAAATGGCTTTCAAAGGTGATGTTTTTTTTGGCACAAATATAAATCAATATTTTTTTTTTACAATATTGGATATATTTTAAATATTTTAAATATTTGTAAACTGAAGCACTAATAAATAATATTATAAATAAAAATTCAATAAAAATATAAATAAAACTCAATGTAAAATAATTAGTTAGCATATAGTAATTGAGTATCTTGGTTATAAAATGATAAGAATATTTTAATTATTTACGATTAATTTTTGTAAATATTTATATAATCCTATTTGAATTATGTTTTCTAATTTTATTTTCAAAAGTTTGTTGATAAAATATTAATTCAACTCTTGTTTCTTAAAGGAAAAAGTTATCGATTAAAGAATTATTCATGATGCTTTAAGTTTGTAATAAAGATCTTCAAATAAATCTATATATTTTATATAAATGTTTTACAAGAGGTTTTCTGCAATTAAAAAAATTAAGTTTCACCAAAATAGATAACTCTTTTTGTTATCCGATAACTCATTTTGTTTAAAAAATCAGGAATTGAAGTAATATTTTACTAAAAAAAATTTGACAGTAAAATTATAAAACATAATCCGTGTAGGATTATACAAATAGTTTTTTTTTAAATAAATCGTAAATAATTAAAAAAATCATAATCATTTTTGAAAAAAAATACTCAATTAAGGATATGTTAATTAATAATTTTACATTGAGTTATGTTTATATTTTTGAATGGAATTTAATTTTTATTTACAATTTTATTTATAAGTGTTATAGTTATTTAAAAGTTTCAATATTTAAAAGCCAATATTTTGAAAAATTGTTGATTTATATTTGTGCCAAAAAGAACACCAACTTTAAAAGCCATTTTAGGCATACCGTTAGTCAACTATAACTGTTGACTGACGATATGACTAAATTGATATGGTCGACGAAAGTTTGTGATTAAAATGGCTTGCTAACAAAAATTGAGTGTTTTTTTGGCTTCTGAGAAAGTTGGTGTTTTATTTCAACCAAATTTGAAAGTTGGTGGTTTAAATGACAATTTTCCCCATTGAAAAGGGTTGTAGAAGGTGAAGAGGAGGTCCAATGTCGTCCTGGGATTCATTAACATCACATATGTAATTAGACTTTTCGTTAATTAATGTTGAAACTTTCTTTATGGCTTACTAATTATATTGAATTAGTCCAATGTTTTAGGATGATCTAATAATTATGATCTGGCCAGTAGAAAGTCTTGGAATTTTGGTCATAGTCATAAGCGCTTAGTTGTATTGTATGCAAAGAGTTGAATTTTGAAAAGACTAAATGAAAATAATTCAATAATTTATGTTGTAGTAATCCTAAAAGAATATATATGATGCTCACCTGAGTTTTAATCTTACTTCCGTTCTTTGAGATTTAACCTAACCCAATTGTTTTTCTCCTTACATGTACAAGAATATATTCGAAGTCGCTTCTCTGAGTCTCGCACTCAAACATTCTATCCATGTTTTATGTAATAAATAAACGAAATAGATAGAATACTACAATTGTTGAGCAAATATAAAAGACAGAATACTACAGTTAATAATATAAACTGATTACGTCACTGCCGTAAAATAAAATACACACGATTACGTGCATTATGGGTCAATTTTCGATTACAAAAAGGATTTGATCACTGCTTCAATTTTAGTTTCCAACACCAAACCAAACTCCAAAGAAAAGAAAAAGAATATGGAGTTCACTACAAAAATAACAACACTCTCTCTCTTATTCCTCTCTCTCCTAATCCTGACGACGACCACTGCCACATGCACTAACGCCGTTTGTCGCCGTGGCGATCCCACTGTCCGTTTTCCTTTCCGTTTGAGTTCCCACCAACCCGAATCTTGCGGTTACAGCAAAGGGTTCGACTTAACGTGCGGTAATAACGGCGTTAACCGAACCACCATAACGCTGCCATTTTCTGGTAACTTCACAGTCGAGGTGATCGATTACGCGGCTCAAGCGATTTTGATCAACGACCCAAATAAATGTCTTCCTGAGCGAATCTTAATGCTGAACCTCACTTCGACGCCGTTTAGCGGCGTTGACGTACGTCCGTTCACATTTTTTAGCTGTCCAACGTCGGATTATCCCCGTTTCGGACAGCTTACTCCGATAACGTGCCTGAGTGATAAAAACAGCACGGTGTTTGCGACTGCTTGGCCTATAAGTGTGAACTACCTGTCGTCTCAATCTTGCCGATTAATAAAAACAGTTGAGGTTCCGGTTCATTGGCCGTCTTATGAGCAGGCCGGGTCATCTTGGGAACTGACTGATAACCTCTGGCTCACTTGGAGGGTTCCGAGATGTCGTAGGTGTGAGCGTAGAGGTGGGAAGTGTGGTCTTAAGAGTAATTCTTCTAGTGAGACCATTTGTTCTGATGCTCCTAAACCAGGTAATTAATTTTTTTTTCTGGCCTCCTAATCTACGTTTTTACTCGCATTGTAGAATGATTAATATATAGTCTTGGGTCTTAACTCTTAACTTTCGAGGAGAATAAAAATTTAATATCTATAAAGTAAAAAAATACAACTAATACTACAATTAGAGTATAGTATTAAAAGTTGACGTAGACTATGACAAAATATTTGTGTTGAATGAGTCATGCGTATTTTGCGTGTTGGTTAGTATATAGAATTATGAATATGGACAAATTTGGAAGAATGATAAGGTAACAATCAAATATATTTTTGTCCGTTCCTTATTGTCTAAATCTTAAAACCACACGAGACGGCTGTACACATGCAACGACATTTTCTACAAAACAAAATCTTGTAGAAAACGTACATATGATATATACCTACGATATAAGAAAAGTAAACGTTAAACTTTTAAAGGCATACAGGAAACGAAATACTAACAATATATACGATTACCAAAATGAAAAGCTATGAACGTGAAACCACATCAAACTATCAAAGAGTTTTCGTTTATAGTCACATCAAACCTAAGAACATTGTTTTTAAAAAACTTTAAAACTTCAAATTTTGAACTTGTATAAAGTGAAATTTTATTTTTGAAGTATTACTATTCACAATTTCATATTGAAATTTCATACTTTAGGTCCTTCAAACTATCTCTCTTTCAAATAATTTTGTTAACTTTTAAAGTTATCACTTTATTTTTTATGCAAAATATAAAATAAATTAAGGACATTAAGTGAAATATTATATAAAAATATTATTATTTAATACAAATAAAAAATAAAATTGCATGAAAACATAAAGATTGCATCAACAAAAATATTTCAATAATAATATTCAAATAAATTTGATCAAGAATCTCCTAAATCACTAAAATATTTTTCGTACGGATTTGGTGTAATCGGAGGTTGTTGTTCTCAATTTTTAATAACTTTTTGTTCAAATTTAATAAACTCATGAGTAATATATGGTTAACGATAGATAATAAATTTGAAAAGAACCATCTCACTATTGGAAAAATGAGGCATTACATGATATAATGACATTATGCATTATAAAATATAACATGATTATTGAGGATGAACACGATATCAATGCAGTAATTAGAGATGAAAGATCAATGCTCGTGGTACAAGTTGAAATGATAATAAGCAAGAATATAATATTCAAGAATTTTTACCTCGTAATCTAAAAATGTAAAATAAAAAGACACATTTATCACTTCAAAATTGAATAATATATGAGACATAATGGGATCGATTGCTATGAATAATTTTGTATTTTATTTATATTATAGGTAATTTATATTTATGCTATTTTCTATTATAATGTAATATTTTTTAATTTATATTTTTTTATTTTTTTATTTTTCATGTTATATAAACATTTTATAATTTTAACTAACTTTTAATAATTAAGGACAATAGTGTAAGATGTAAAAAAAATTAAAATTAGATTTGGAGTTTTTTTTTTATATAAACATTTTCAAACTTCAAATGAAGTTGCTTTTAGAGATATCCTAAATATAGTAGAAGTTATAAGACTTTTTGTACTGAATAATTATCATATATATATAAGCATAAACTATATAAATATCAGATAAAAAAATATATTATAAATTACATATATCTTCACGTAGAATGTTTGAAGTTTTACCAATTTCAAAAATGAAATTGATTTTAGAGATACTCTAAGTATAGAAGAAGTTGTAAGATCTTTTGTACTGAATACAATACTGATTATCCTAGCTATGTATATAAATCTTAGCACTGGGCCAGCGATAAATTCACCTCACAGATTAGTCATTTAGTCTACTTATCAAATTTCGTATAATCTTTTAAATTCTACTTATTCAAAACAAAATACTTTTTTTCTTTGATTATGTTCCTCTAATCAAAAACTTTCTAACTTCAGCTATTCCGAGAAGAGACCAATATGCAATAGCAATCGGTGCAGGGATCCCAGGAACTTTAATACTCTTCGGTCTTGTTTGTCTCGTTTACAACAGAATTTCTGCCTTCATCAAAAGACTCCATCCTGTCCCACACTCAGAGAACAATAATCCTCAAGCTCATTCTCTCCAGTCCAATATTATGATAATGGGGCTAGATGTGTCTACTATAGAGTCGTATCCAAAAATAGTATTGGGTGAGAGCAAAAGATTACCAGAAAACGATGTCACATGCGCCATTTGTCTATCAGAGTATGAACCTAAAGAGACGCTTAGGAAAATACCATTGTGCCAACATTGTTTTCACGCCGACTGTATCGATGAGTGGCTAAAATTAAATGGGACTTGTCCCGTTTGTCGGAACTCTCCAGAACAGATTTTGTAATCTGAAAATGTTAATTCTTAGCTAGTAGTATAACTATTTTTTGGAACATTTGGAAGTAGTATAATAATCATATACTCCCTCTGTTACTGATTTAAGGATACTTAGTTTTACATAAATATTCTAACCTGCAACTAAAATAATTTTGTATACTAGGTGATCCGTCCGCGCGGATGCGCGAATTTAATTCTCGTGCTCAATGATATAGGCAGTTCGTATGTTGAGTGCTCCTAGTTAAAATCTTAATATTAAAAACAGCCGACAATGAATCATAAATAAATATATATCATAAGTAATCCTAATTATTAAAAAACCAAATTAAAAAACTAATCAGAAAACAACATAGCTATAAGAACCAAATCCTTATCAAACTTTAATAAACTCATTTGTTTTTGTTCTTTTCAACTTTCACTTGCATCATCCTCTGTTTTTTTTGTTGAAAAACCTTGATATTCGTCTGACATTGAACTTGATATTCGTCTGACATTGAACTCGATGTTTCTTCTCTGCTTCTGGATGATGGAGTTCGTGCAAATTTTTCTGCTTCTTCCCACTCGTGATCTGAATACTTTACAATAGGTGACTACAAAAATAAACAACTGACAGTTTAAGTAATGTTATCAATGCATAATATATTTAATCACAAAAGAATACTACCATCATTATAGGCAGTTCTGCAAATTGTTCAATCATATATGCATCATCAGCCACTAATTCAACAACATAAGGTGAACTACTGCCTTTTTGATTCTTTGAGTCTATCTTGATCTTAAATAATAATCTCCTCCCAACGAAGTCTGTTAGAGTTTGAGGAACTTCTTGAACCTCCGCAGCTTCTTCAACTAACTCTAAAGCGGGTCTACCAATGAGTTTATTTGCAGCTTCGTTAAACAAAAGAAAATTTGTATCCGCTTCTGATTCATCAGAGACACGCATAACCAAGAAATAGCTATAACAAATCAAGAATAAAAATCAAAAAGTATCAACTTAGGTAATAATTAATAAGATCATGCATGATGAATAGAAAATGTTAATACCTGTAGATAACATTTTTGATGTCACTGTGTTTAATATAGTTGTATCGAGGTTTATGATGAAGGCCATCATTCTCATCATCAGAATCATCTCCATATGATTGAACTTTCTTTTTGCAAAGTTTACACGCAACATAGTACCATTTTTTTTTGACAAATCAACAGAGTTGATTTTAGCAAAAACCACACAATTTCAAACCTATATTTAAAGTAAATTAGATGTTGGAAATAATTATACAAAAATTTAACATCTAGACAGAGAATTTTTTTGTTACCGATCTTGAATCAAGAATTCTTGCAATAGTTTTCCTTGGATTAATCACAAGCATCTCATCGTGAAGTGAAACTGCAGATCCAAATGAAACTTGACTATCATTATTTGTCACTAATTGATTCTCGCATGATAACCTTCAGAACATAAACAAAAAAAATATTATGACAACATTAAGACTTTATTTGAAGTGAATACTAATAATATTAATTTAATAGAGCAAGTGTGATATATATGGATGTAAACCTCTTCACTTCGGCAGTTTGTGGATTGAGAAAGATTTGCGTTGAGTTGAATGCATTTGATATGGAGAAGTTACCTACATATTAATCAACGATTTAATCAAATATTTGTAAAATATACTTCACAAAGATAGGTATAAATAATTTTCGAGTGTTATAGTTACCTTTGTACTCCTTGATGCATGCAAACTTAATGATACATATAAAAATAGATGTATTGTTCTCTTTAGTATAACGTTAATTGTTAGAGTATATTTTTTGTTGTAACCAAAGAGTTTATGAGAATATTGGTGATTAACTCACATTGTATCTCGTAGAATAAGATTTGAGCTATCCTTCCCCTTTGTTTTTATCTGCTCCATTGGTCCAATATTCACAATTTCACCAATCACATATGACATTATTAAAAGCTTTGTCATAAGTCCATAATGTAAATAGAAGATTATATGCGAAATAATTCAACTTTGAAGATATAACTTACCAACCAAAACCTTTTTATTTAGCCTTCCCGATAATATCTCTTCAAAGATTGAAAAGTATTTTTCAGGATAATAGTCGAGAAAATCATCAGCTGTTTTGACCTTTGTTGTTCTTAAGAACATTATCTTATAAGGGCAAGGATTGGTCCTAAATTCCCCAAGATAGTCTTCCAACTGGAAAGTATTGATGATCACAGCTTCACCTTCTTTCAGAACAATTAGGTGTTTCTTCATCGAGTCTTCTTCAATTTGGGCATGAATCCTTGTTCTCTATAAGCACAAAAAATAAGGACGATAACTTAAACGTCTTAATATTCAAATACAATATATATCATGTTCATAACGATTAAGAACATGCCTCTTCATCAACCAACACCATCTCATGAGTGTTTCCAGAACTTTTGAAGTTCTTCCAGAGTACCAAAACCTTCACTTTGATTTTATGTGTTTCATCAGCGGAATCAATGTTTTTTACAAGAACAAAGGAGTTGTTTTTTTTTTGATAAAATCGACATTGCAATAAACTTTGTAAAACTTGAGAAAATTTAATAGGTGTAGTCAATTATGAAGATGTGTATCACACACACATATATATATATATAGCATAATATGTAAATGTTAAGTTAGAATCATATATTCTCGCATATTTTTTTTCCTTTCTTGTTTATCCTTTTTTGGAAAAATTCTATTTGTATTTATCTATTTATGAGAAATATACATATATACACAATTGTGTGGAGATAAAATTAACATATAATATAGAATATTTGGTCAAAATTACGTGAAAATCATATATTATCATATATTTTCCATTTATTTTTGTTGCCTTTTATTTTTTCCTTTGGTTTATGTACAAATTCCTTTTGTGTTTATCTATTAATAAGAAATATACATATATACAAAACTCCATGCTAAAGTAAAATTAACATATAGATGGCATTATAGATGTATATCACGTGAGTATTATATATTTTCCATATTTTTCACCCTTTGTGTTTATATTTTATGTTGCATATATGTGGTTTATGTGCACGTAATAATATATGTGCATGTGGTATATATGTAGAGTATAAAATTAACATATATATAGCATATTTGGTCAAAATTACGTGAGAATCATATATTATCATATAGTTTCCATATATTTTTGTTACCTTTTGTTTTTTTCTTTGGGTTTTGTACAAAATCACCAAGATCAACCTCTACAAGGATGGTAGGCATGGAAAAGGGCATTGTTCACAAAAGATGGGTTGCTCCAAAGAAGATAAGTGGAGTTCACAAACTCTGCTGGAAGTATATCCCAAACCTGTGAAAGACCACACCTGCAACAAACTCTTCCCAAGTCCAATCTGCCTGATTTGTTTTACTTCCATCGTTTATGGGTACCTCTCAGGATATATATATATATATATATATATATATATATATATATATATATATATATATATATATATATATATATATATATATATTTCTTTAACTTTGGAAAATACAGCTGTTGTTACGTGATATTTCTCTTTCATTTTGTCCCTAGATTTTTTGAGATCTGTAATCATCGGATCATGATTGATATTAGGTTTATCTTATACGCTTCTTGGGACCGATTTTGCTATGATTAAGTATGAACTTGTTTTGTAGGAGATCTTATGGTTTTGAAAGATCTAATAAAACCTCAATTACCTGTTGTCTCGCTAAAAAACAATTGTAAAAAAATATTTAGTTTCTTTTAACATATAAATTATGTATGAATTTTTAATGTTTACTATTTAGCTTCAGTCGACTGCATAAGAGTTATAATCGTCTGGGTTGGTTACATTTTAAACGTATTAATTTTTCCAGGTGAATTTCAAAACTTAATCTTAGATCATATTGCTTTTCGAAATGATTGAATAATCTGTATTTTTGCGGTTCTCATAGATTGGATCTCTAATTTTTAGCTTAGTAATGTAAATATGGTAAATTTCATTTCAGTATTGGGATTGATTGTTGCGTCTCAAAAGTTTTGTTTGTTCTTTTGTTCAAAATGTGATGCGATCATCTGAGAAGCATACAATATGGTGAATGGGGGATGTTAAAATAGGCTTATATTAAACACGTCACATAAAACATGAGGATAAATACTCAATTTTATTTTTGCCTTAAATTATTCACAAAGTCTTCAACCAGTTGTCCAAGTCAATAAAAGTCTTTCTACCTACTTTTGATGAGTTTCGCCGAAGCCACAAAGAAAAAAAATAGATTGACTAGATAATGCCAGTAGATAATCATTTTTTTCCAGATTCATCAAAACAGCTCCACTTGCCTAAATTGGTACCATTGAGTCATTCACATCAAGCAAGGAAACTTGGCATCTCCAGATATTATTACATGGATTCAACTCATTATTAAGACCTTTTCATCAGAGTTAAAATTACTTCATGTACGTTGTAGATCCTAAAATCCACACTAAGTATTTTTTAGTAATCGAGAGTTTAATCAGGGGAAGACAAATGATGTGGGCAACGATTCTCTTAAACACAACGATACAATCAGAATTCGGTTGACAAAAATGGACTTTTATTGAATATGGAATTCGCTTACAATGTGATGAACAAGATCAAAAACAACAATGAAAAGTAGAAGTAACAAGCGAACTAAAAATCTATGGAGTGAGGTCGATGTGATTAGTGAATAACACTAGGGTTTTTCGTGTGTGTTGTAGTCCATTCTAACTTCTTTTTATAGCATTCTTCTCTTCTAACTGCTTCCGCGATCTCCGGGATATCATTTTGACCTCGTAGAGTCCGGTTGATATCGAGCTCGTGACTGATCTCAGATGGGCTTGGGCCTACTTGACTAGTTGCCAAAATTGGGTCCAACATTTGTCCCCCAATCTTTTTCTTTTGTTAAAAGATTAAGATGGCTTATTCGGACTAAATCATCGAGAAACGGTTTTGTTTCTGCGGCGGCGGGAACCTGACACGTGTCTTCTCCTTATTGATGGACCGTTGGCGTGCATCTCTAACGGCTACTTGTGCTGTTTTCAAGGTGAAACATAATCATTATCTCCTCGTTTAGTGATAGAGCCGTTTGGTGTCGGTGCG